AATGCTTCCCTGTACCAATGCAAAAGACGATTTTAAATGGTGTATGGTTACTAAGTTCAGAATGCTTCCCTGTACCAATGCAAAAGACGATTTTAAATGGAATGACACATCTAAAAGCATTGTTGTGAAGCAGGTCTGGAGCAAGTGTGAAACAGGTAATGAAGCCTTATTGACAACTGTATGAAGTACTACTAGGAGAATATTTTTTTTTTATCATCACACTGGCTGATTACCACCAAGGCAGGGTGGCCTGAAAAAGAAAAACTTTCACCATCATTCACTCCATCACTGTCTTGCCAGAAGGGTGCTTTACACTACAGTTTTTAAACTGCAACATTAACACCCCTCCTTCAGAGTGCAGGCACTGTACGTCCCATCTCCAGGACTCAAGTCCGGCCTGCCGGTTTCCCTGAACCCCTTCATAAATGTTACTTTGCTCACACTCCAACAGCACGTCAAGTATTAAAAACCATTTGTCTCCATTCACTCCTATCACACACACTCACGCATGCCTGCTGGAAGTCCAAGCCCCTCGCACACGAAACCTCCTTTACCCCCTCCCTCCAACCTTTCCAAGGCCGACCCCTACCCCACCTTCCTTCCACTACAGACTGATACACTGATACTAGGAGAAATGGAATGAAAAATGGATCAGATACACATTACAGAATACATGAGAATTCCAGTACAATCATTATTACAACTGTGCATCCACATCAATACCAAAACCACAGCCATCCACCTCAGTCCAGCAGAGCCACAAACCCTATTTAGAAAACTTCCAAGTTAACAATAACAGCAACTACAATGTAAGAAAACAATTTTTCACGTTTCACAAAATCTTTAAATAAAATGATGGGCTTTTTTGAAAATTATGGAACAAAACTAATTCTTCCATATGTTTTTCAGATTAGTTAGTACTAAATTAGATTACATGTTGATTTTCAGGAACATAACCCCACATTCTAACTGACTGATGATCTACTGATCTAATAGAAGCTCTTGCCTCTATGTAAACCCTCCTTCCTCGCCCCCTTTTTTTTTTTATCTTGCTAAAAAATATTTACCTGGGAATATATCCTGCAAATATAGTGTTCCCAAATCAGCAGGAATGGAGTCAAAGCCACAGGAGCCTACAACATGCACTCCATTATCTTGAGCCTCCTTGGAGTAGCGTAACTGCACTTTTTCCAAGTACTCAGGTTCCCCACTGATGTCCACATGATTAGCTGCTCCCTTGATGCAGGCAGATACAATTTTCTCACCATAGAAACGATACTGTTAGAAGGAGACTGTGTATTTGTAACTGCTCTTTGGGGAATTGATGCCCAAGATACACATTCATCAATTTACAAACATTTTATTTTCACTTTTTTTTATAGCATTCACTGCCCAGAATCCACAATATTTGTACTGTACAACAAAAAAAAAAGCAGACTATCCAAAATAAGTATCTATCACTGATGAATTCACAAAACTATTTATAAATCAAAGAGGGAAGGAGATTTTTAACTATTGCACTTCACTAAGAAAAACTTGCTACTATAACATAATTTCATGAAAATATTAGCATTGATAAATACAGCCTTAAGTCTTAAAGCTGTGAATAGTCAAACAAATATTGTTTATGTTCATTTCTTCAGGGGTTCCCAAGGCAATGGGAATTAGTTTATACAAGGATAAACTGAGATAATCCATGAAGTGACAAATGTAAGCTGAATGTCAAAAATATTATGAAATACAGACTTCAATATTTAAGAAATGTAAAGAGTTAATGACAATATAGGGGGTTCTAGATCAAATATTATACAAAAGAAGTGTTGCAAAATGCCCAGCAGTTGGATGAAGCACTGGCACTACCCGATACTCCCTCACCCCTGATGCTCCTCACACGAAACCTGTGCTTAATTTATCTTGCCTTCCATGCTTACCCCAAAAAAAAATTTTCCTGCACATAATACAATGCAGAGCATTTTATTATGTGCAGGAAACAGAGAACTCATGGCTTATGAATATCACAATACACATATCACTCCAGTTATCAACTACACCTAACTTTCAACTTGAAACATGCAGCAGCACACATTTACAAATTAAGTGCTATTCAGATCTGTATATTATACCAAGAAAGGCATGTGTAGCCTAACATAACATCTCTTTTACAAACCGGTCCAACACAATTGATGACAACCTTGGCCTGCTTTGCCATATTCAGGAGGCTTCCTTCATCATTAACATCTGCAACAATAATACCAACATTCTGCAAATCAAGACCTGTCCTAGTCTTTGCCATCTCCACCGTCTTGTCCAGCTTATCCTTGTTACGGCCAGCAAAGGCATATGTTAGGCCCTCGTTTTCTTTGGCAATTCTGGCAACCTGAAATATGCAGAGAGTATGTGCTATACAAAAATTTAAGTTTTGCAAAAACAGAAAAATGAATTTTAAATAATGATTAACTGGAAGGATTTATATATTAAACTCTGAATATATTTTATAGTACATATACTTGCAAACACATTTTATTTTAAGAAGTACTGTACTAAAACAGACAAAATTTAAGATACAAAAAGAACTGGAATTTGTTTTATAATTCTTAGGTATCTGAATCACCATTCAAGTCTTTGTACAGCTCTAAGAACTTACTACCACACACAGTTTTTTCTCAAAAAAAACTGTTATAATGCAAATGCTTTAGAATAGTTAAAATTTAAGTAATTCACGTTAAGCACTAAACCCATGTGGATTGCTCAGCGGAAGACGCGGTGGAGGTTCGATCCTCCAACTACTGAGCACTTCCTATTTGTACTCTTAAATTCTTGCACTACCCTGATTACTTCGGATATGTTCCTTACTATGCAATGTAAGCTCATCCATCAAGACCCACAACTTTTTCTTGAGAAAATATATGTAGTGAAGAAAATAGTAATAGTAGTAATGGTATATAAGAGAACTCAACACAGTAACCGAGCAATAGTATGCATAAAAATCATGACAAAAAACTAAGCAGGAAGTAAAGCAGCATAAATAATTTTAAATGGAATTTTCCTGTCAGCCTATTTAACCTAACAAAACATTAAGTTCAATAAAAGTAAACCTAGCAACATACCCTTCTAAGACGTGCAACAAAACTTTTAGAATTAAAAAACTGATGAAAGGTACTGGAACTGCCTGTCATGGAAGGAAGAAAGGAGAGGAGATAACTACATGTAAATTTAGAAAATATGTGAAAGTAGATAAGGATGGCTTGTCAGTAATAAGGACAAAAAACTATAAATCAGAACGTATCCTATTTAATACTAATACAAGAGGGTCCCACATATTTGGCACCCTCTTTTCAGTGTTCTACATTTCTGTTGGCTTTCAAATGAGCTAGTGTTCACCACATTTGGTACTTTTGCCACTTTTCCACATAACAGTTGCGTAAGAGAAGGGCAACCAGAACCATATTTGAAGGTAAGTATTGTATGTACTGTGCACAGTGGTACCTCAGGATACAAACAGCTCAAAACTCGAAAAATGATGTAAGTGCTTTTGTAAGTGTATTTTTAGGGGTCTGAAACGGATTAATCTAATTTATATTATTCCTTATGGGAACAAATTCATTCAGTACCGGCACTCGAAAAGCTGTCTGGAATGAATTAAGTTCATATCCCGAGGTACCACTGTACAGTGGACCCCCGGTTAACGATATTTTTTCATTCCAGAAGTATGTTCAGGTGCCAGTACTGACCGAATTTGTTCCCATAAGGAATATTGAGAAGTAGATTAGTCCATTTCAGACCCCCAAACATACACGTACAAACGCACTTACATAAATATACTTACATAATTGGTCGCATTGGGAGGTGATCGTTATGCGGGGGTCCACTGTATTTATTTTACTTTATTTTTTTATGCCTAGCTGTAGTGAGCACTTAATATATGATAGTGTAAACACATTACGAGCATTTTTGGTTAATTTGAAAATAAAAAAAAAATGCTCTTTCCATCCCACTGATGATTTTTGCTTACTCTACGGGGCTTTGAACCAAAGAGCCGTACAAATGGCACCCTCCTGTACATAAAATCTATTAAGTTACTAATGTACAATGAGTAAACAGTATGTACATGCAATTATTATTACATAACTTTGTAATACCTCTGTGGGAAGATGTCACCAGTGGTATCCCACAAAAATTAGTAATTCACCATAATTTTTTTTATATAAATGGTTCAAACAAATATAAATAACTGTTGTACAGTAAATGAAATTAAGTAGTTAACTCAAAGATCCAGACACAGGTGTGCAACTAACCTAAAACTATCTATAATACAAAAATGTATTTTATGCCAAATCTCATTCAGTAAAAGAAAAAAAAATGAGAATTATTATTTTAATGGGAAGTACTGAATGGGTTTATATTCCAAAGATTCTTTTGGAATATAAACCCTTATGGCTTAATGTTCCTGAATAGGCAAAGAAAATCAGGGAGACTTCTATCCAATGAGATCCTGAGGTCCTTTCCCACAGGATGCAACCCTGTACTGGGGTGGAGGCAGCATAGTGATGCCAACAAGACAAAAGACACTTACGCAATGATCAAGACATATTAAGGAAACACTTTGCTACAAGTGACTTCTTTAATATGTGGTGAAAAAGTTTCCTTAATGTCTTGAACAGTGTATACACTTTTTACCTACAGAATACTGGCTCCTAGATATCTATTTATGCAAGGTTAACAGGGGTAACAAGTGTAAGGAGATTTGCCAAGACATTTCTTCTTGTCCAGGGACTGAACCAGTCAGTTATAAGCTGAGTGTTCCACAACTGAGCTACAGAACAGAATCACTGCAATAAACAAAGCATAATGGTCTATGTATATTAGCTAATAATATGCTGTAATTTCCTGTCTCCTGGCAAGAAGTCAATGACATTACAAAATTTTAAAAAACTTGCAAAACATTATCTGAAATGAAGTATAACTTTCACAAAACAAGGATAAGCATCACCTCTTCAGCAATAAACTGCCCTGTATATCCAGTGGCTCCAAGCACCACCAGATCATACTGCTTTTTCGGCATATCAGCCATGACGGTCAAGTACCCTGAAATGCAAGCTATACTGCAAATTATATATATATACATGATTTTAAAGTGCATTACAAAAAACTGCAAGTAAAGTTGCTACACGAGTTTATTTTTGGATGTGTACAAAATGTTACATTCAAGAGGAAGCACTAAACCCATAGGAACTATACAGTGCCTGGGGGGAAAGGAAGGCATTCAGACTATTCAAGGAATAGGAACAGGTGAAATTCCTCACCATCATCAAGGAACCTACCCTGATGGAGGTTTTTAAAGTAATGAAGAGTACAGTACATGCCCTCATTCTTAAGCAGTGTAGAGCCCAGTACAGTATTATTTGAAGTTTAAATAATGTTGCTTAATATCTCTTAATTTAGTAATTTTTTTGGGACTAAATGCTGTACTGCTCATTTTAGGTTACATTAATGATGGGATTTATAATTACTGCATATTCATAGAAAGGTATTAAGCTTGTATTAACAGCTCTGTACATAGTTTTACAGACCATTATAGTTATATAGTGGGATTTGATTATAGTTCAATTTAATTCAATTCAAATTTATTCTTTATAAGGGTTACAATGTGGGGTTTACAGGTTTTGGGTATTGTGTGGTTTACATGTTTTATTATTTTTATTATCACACTGGCCGATTCCCACCAAGGCAGGGTGGCCCGAAAAAGAAAAACTTTCACCATCATTCACTCCATCACTGTCTTGCCAGAAGGGTGCTTTACACTACAGTTTTTAAACTGCAACATTAACACCCCTCCTTCAGAGTGCAGGCACTGTACTTCCCATCTCCAGGACTCAAGTCCGGCCTGCCGGTTTCCCTGAATCCCTTCATAAATGTTACTTTGCTCACACTCCAACAGCACGTCAAGTATTAAAAACCATTTGTCTCCATTCACTCCTATCAAATACGCTCACGCATGCCTGCTGGAAGTCCAAGCCCCTCGCACACAAAACCTCCTTTACCCCCTCCCTCCAACCTTTCCTAGGCCGACCCCTACCCCGCCTTCCTTCCACTACAGACTGATACTGTATTATTATTATTATAATCATGGGGGAGTGTTAAACTCACAGGGATTATACAGCACTTGTTGGGGGGGGGGAGGGATGGAAGATATTCAGACTCAATTCAAGGAACTGGAGGATAGATCCAACTTCCTAGATCAAGAGCCCCTCACCAGCATCAAGGAACCTCCCCCGCGGAGAGCTAATCCTACATCGTTTTTTGTTTACACATAACATTTGATTAATAAATTACACACAATAAGTAGAGAATTAGCATTTCTGCACTGATGGGAAGCACCTCCTGGCTTCTCTTAGCCCTTTAAGAACAGCTACCATCACTATTTCTGAGCGTTGGGGACAAATGCACATGCATGCTAGTGGTTTTCCTTGTGCTTAACAATATCTTATTATACGTAAACATTTTTTTATACTGCAGAGGGAAATAAAAATGTTTGTTTATTAAGCAAAATTAAGGGTTATTTTCAGGCCACAGTAAAATGTGGATGACCAAAACCACTTAAACCAAATCTGCGGATACGGGGATTCTACCGTAGGGTTACAAAGCTCATAGGGAATACAGAATAGGAGGCATTCAAATCGGTCCAATACATGATAACTCCAATTCCCTGGATCAGAAGCCCTCATCACATCAAGGTACATCCTTGAAGGAATGGGGGTAAGATAAGATATGTCAAGATTTTTAACCCAAGATAACACAAAGTCTGTGTCATCGAGGGACTCTTGCCTGCCTTATTTCCATTGTGGTCCTTTAATTTTATCCCCCAGGATGCCACCCTCATCAGTCAACTAACACCCAGGTACCTATTTACTGCTAGGTGGACAAGGACAGCAGGTGTAAGGTAACACGCTCAATGTTTCCACCTGTCCGGAGACTGAACCACGGACACTCAGTGTGAGGCGAGTGCGCTACCAACCAGGCCACGGGACACAATAAATGTTGCTCCACGGTGGATTTCGGAGTTCAAACTGTACAATAGAGTGAGATTTACATTAAAGATTAGTAGTACACTGTGTAACTGGTATGAAACGTAACCAAACCCAATAAAACCAAACTTAATCCAACCTAAAATAAGCTAATATAACCTTAAGAGTTATTGGCCTTTAACATTATGTGATCATTTTAGCTGTGTCTAGCCAGGATGTAATACTAAGCATTGATTCCCTCTAATGTGCTATTAGTCCAAAAAAATGTAATCTCTCCCAAAATAACTATGCATAAAAAAATTTATTCCGTTCTGCTTCCAATCAAAAATACATTCTAATACCGAACCTCCGCCGTAATTTTTATTTTAATATGAGGGAGAGCACAAAAGGCGTGGCATTCTTCACCTATAACCAGGAAATGTGTAGAAATAAATATATAATATACTCCTGGCGGCGACTCCCTCAGCCTATCACAAGACCTTGAATCACCCTCGTCTCTCTTGTCACTCATTAACCTCCTCCCTCCGCATATGACAGTACATATAACATACCACACGTCAACCTTCATTCAATAACCTACAATTTGCGCCTACTTCTGAGTAAATTCAGTGTTTAACTTGGGAGTGAGCAGCTACTTGAGAGTGAAGGTCACCCAGGGTTGTTGCTTCTCAGTTCCTGGCAGACATGTTGTTTTCATTACAGCATTCATTTAAGAAAAAATATTCTCGTTAATAAATATGTACTCTATATTTATCGCTCATAATCATAGCCTGAAAAAGGTAATGACAAATTTACACCTTTATGATTGATATCTTAGTAACCAATGCAAATATGAATATTTAATTATATTAATTCGTATTTATTAAACAAAGCAAATTAATGACTTTACATTACTTATTTAATGCTAATTATAAATTTATGAGCTGCATTATATAACTCTAATATAATCCTAGATACATTTTAGTCATAATTAAAAATTCGTCTCGACTTGAATGTTTACATAAACCTAATTGTCATCATTAGTAAGTTAGTTTATTTAGGTAGTCACCTAGTTGTGCTTGCGGGGGTTGAGTCACAGCTCCTGGCCCCGGTATACCCAAATACAGTTACACAGATTATCATACATAGAAGCATATGTATAAAGAACGTACGATAACCCAAAAAAGTCAGACAGAGCGACGTATTTCCACTGGGATACTTTAATTAAAATATTTAAAAAACTGTATTTATCATACCACTAAAATAAAAAAAACTTTGAGAAACAGATCAAACAAGGCACTTAAGCGCCTTTTTTTGATTGATCTTAGTTTCTTAATGTATAATTTTTCTAAATCAAGCAAATTTTGGATACATCCGCATGGTGCTGCTACCCTGAACTAAATTGATTTATTACATATGTATTATTAATATAGAGTATTTACACTATATACTTTACATGTCCATTATGCTTAATGATTATTTTTAACAATAGTTTGTATAAGCTGTATATTTTAATTATATATATAACAAATTAAGCAAGTCTAAATATTTAACCAGAATTATCATATTTTACGAGCGACTAGGGGCAGGGGGGCATAATTATATCATGATACAGTATCTAGTACATAGTATATACATTTACTATACATCCCATAAATTCATATGGGTAAATTAAGGCATCAGGTATACTCCAGGTATACCAGGTATCATCAGTGTTTTACAAGGTATATAAATTATCATTTTATATATATATATATATATATATATATATATATATATATAAATATATATATATATATATATATATATATATATATATATATATATATATATATATATTAATAAACTGTCGATTTATTGGATTTATTAAAGAAATTTTAAGCAAAAGCGAATTATATATCAGGAGAGTTGTGTTGTTGTTCATCATTAATGGAGGATGTTGTTGGAGGAGTGGTGGAGCAGAGGTGGAGATCAGCACCAGCAGCAGCCACAGAACATAGTGTGTGGGGGAGGAAGTTTGTTGTGAGGTACAGGAGTGCCACCAGACACCAGGTATACACTCCTTCAAGCTCTTGTTCCAAGGAACTCCGCCTCTCCTATTCTCTTCTATACTCTCTTCTATTCTTTCGAAATTTATATTTTGCATGGATAGAGGGAGAAATGCAAGTTTGGCAATAGAGTTGTAGATTGAATAATTGAGGAGAGAACCTTGGGTAGTTTAAATATAGGTTGACCAGGTATATACGTGGATGTGAGCTGAACTTGCCTAACATGGGCCAGTAGCCCTGCTGCAGCGTTCCTTCTTATGATACTATGATAAAGTTGAATGGAATAGGTGTGTTGTATCCCTTTGTTTCAAAAAATTATTTTTTACCAGCATCTAGACTTCTTATGTTACAATAACAATAATTTATTAATAATATTAATAATCCGAAATTTTCACGGTAAATGCTTAGTCATCTTGTAAATTCGCCGGTATATCTCCCGGCCCGGGCCTTTTCCAAGTGGTGGCCCGGCCTTGGCTTCCTGTCTGGGGAGTGTCTGAGGCCTAAGTCTCCCATGGGAGGAGGCACAAGTACCCCCTCACCGTTGGGACCAACTGTACCCAGGCCTAGCCACATTCCCCGCCCTCACGGGGCTCGTAGGGAGAAGCTAGACCTCTCTGGTCTGCCATCCCCGCCCCAAGGGGGCTAATGGGAATGACAGTCTTGCGAGCTGCAAGCTCTGGCTCTGGCACCTACCCTACCCTAGAAGGGCTGGGCATGGTGTCGATTGCTTAGTCGTGTGTCTGAAATAGGGATTATTATTATTATTATTATTATTATTATTATTATTATTACATTACAGCAAAGGTGGGGAGAGAGAGAGAGACAGCCCCTGACTGAGATCACCAATACACGTGACTTGAATGATCAAATTCTCTCTGGCACTGATAATGGCGACGAATGCGGGCGAGAGGTCATGGCCGACGACGAGGAAGAACATGATATAAAGAAATCTAAAAAGCTAGGGAAAACCAGGTGAGATTAAAAAAAAAAGTTATGGATGGGTTGTTGGGTTGAACACTGTCGACTGCTCGAGGGTTATGGTTTGCCTGGATACCTCTTATCAAAAATACTTAAATCTCGATGATAGGGATTATAGAAAACTTTTACCTATATACACTGAGAGACAGTGACGCATCTGTGTATATATCCTGTGTTGATTATGACATGTGCAACACTTAGGTATCTTTCTTGTCGAAACGTTTCGCCTACACAGTAGGCTTCTTCAGTTAAATACAAAAGCAGTAGGTGTAGTAATGAAATGAAGATAATGTAGTTATTTTTAATGATCTTAATCATCAAACTGTTGGTATTTTATACCATTTTTAATATATCCTGTGCTATGTAAATATGTAAAGACTTCTGTAACTTCGGGAGTCAAAAATGTATCTCTTGTTGATGAAAGTAGAACATGTGTCGATTTATATCTCAATTACATCTATCCACATTTGTTTTTGTTTTTACATTAGTATTTAAATGATATTAAAGCAGAACTAGGGCTGCTAATGAGTATTTTTCAGAGGCTAAGAACTATTTAAATAAACCCCCTCCAGATTCCATCTCTTCTCGCACTTATTTAATCTATCAATATTTAAATAAGTACAAAAATACAGCTACACATATTATGAAGAAAGTGGGCAAAAAGTGTGAATGAAGTACACTCGACTTTATATCCTGTACATCGTCCTCGAAAGGGTTGGAAAGAGGGGGTAAAGGAGGTTTTGTGGGCGAGGGGCTTGGACTTCCAGCAAGCGTGCATGAGCGTGTTAGATAGGAGTGAATGGAGACGAATGATACTTGGGACCTGACGATCTGTTGGAGTGTGAGCAGGGTAATATTTAGTGAAGGGATTCAGGGAAACCGGTTATTTTCTTATAGTCGGACTTGAGTCCTGGAAATGGGAAGTACAATACCTGCACTTTAAAGGAGGGGTTTTGGGATATTGGCAGTTTGGAGGGATATGTTGTGTATCTTTATACGTATATGCTTCTAAACTGTTGTATTCTGAGCACCTCTGCAAAAGCAGTGATAATGTGTGAGTGTGGTGAAAGTGTTGAATGATGATGAAAGTATTTTCTTTTTGGGGATTTTCTTTCTTTTTTGGGTCACCCTGCCTCGGTGGGAGACGACCAACTTGTTGAAAAAAAAAAAAAAAAATCGGTTTTCAAGCGTGATCAGTAATCGTAATATTTTATGCTTCAGACTGGAGATTTCTGGGTTGCTTCATCCAGATGAACTGATGCCAAGGCGCAGGAAGAAGAAAACAAAACTCAGAGGAGCAAGAGAAAACCATACGAAAGGTCAGTAAGTTTATTTAACCACAGGTACACATAAGTATCGTTCCAGTCACGGTATTGTGCCTTTTTTTTTTTATTTACACGTAAGTACGATTATCATACATAGTGTGAATTAACTAGGATTACCCAAAAAAAGTCACACAAAGTGACTTATTTCCATTGGTAGGTGTAATGTTTGTCAGGAAACAGGACAAGTGTTTCCTGACGTGGGTCTGTCATATGATGACCCACAGCTGGAACTTTTGGTCATCTGACCGAGGACTTCCGCTGGCTTACCGGTCCACCTCTTTAAAAATCATGGTTATGATTATAAGCATTTAGTAGCAGTATTTTTATTATTTCCATTGGGGGTCCTTGCACACTCTTAGTTAATAACACTGAAAATAACACCTAACACGGATTTTAGCTAAATGTTAACCCTCGTTGTGATTATGCAAATTCTGGCATACATGTCTTAGGCTTCCAGGTCATTTAAAAAAAATAGGAATACCTTATCTTTTTCGTAATTAGCCACATTGCTCACTGGATTTTATGTATCTTACGGGATACACCTGATAAAAAAGACTCGATTATTAGAACTGCGAACAAACCCATTTACGAAAGGACAAGTGAACGCTGTACGGTTAAGTTTTATGACTAGGCTTCTCTTTTTAGTTTCTTTATAGCCACAGTATTTACTTAATTTTCCAAAGCTGATACTTCGTCTTATTGGTGAACATCAGAATTATTGCTGCCACTGGCATTATTCAAGTTATATTAAATTCTATAACCTTCATGAATTATTTAGTTGACAAATGGTTCAGAGAACCGACAAGTTGATAAATTAGGACATGTACAACACCCCAGTATATTGTGGAAACGTTTCGTCAAACAGTGGCTTCATCAGTCCAATACCAAGAAGAATGGTGAATTATTCTTATTCTTATTTTGTTTCAGGTGTTCCCGCAGTAGAATCTTTAAACTGTAATGTGGTGTCATTGGTACGAAGTAAACAGCAACTTATGTATGGAGGTGACGAGGATATGAGCCTGACATGTCACCCCGAGAAGTCTCCTCACATCAGTTCCACCCACTACCCGCAGTCCTCTACTACTACTACGACCACCCATTACGACTACCCACTTTATCACACCTCTGCTCAATGCCCACCTTACTTCACAGCCGCCCACCCTCCACCCATAGGCTTCAAATCTCAACCCAGTGTCCTTGATAGACGACCATCCATGTATCCATCGCCCCAGGTCTGTTTTTCTGTTATATATTGCTCGGATAAATCTTGACTTTAAAGTATTGATATGGTTGCTCTGTTCTCATTTCGTTTTTTTCGCATCATTATGAAATTTATATATATATATATATATATAATATATATATATATATATATATATATATATATATATATATATATATATATATATATATATATATATATATAATATAATATATATATATATATATATATATATATATATATATATATATATATATATATATATATATATATATATATATAGTTTTTTTTTTTTTTTTTCAACAAGTCGGCCGTCTCCCACCGAGGCAGGGTGACCCAAAAGAAAAAGAAAGAAAATCCCCAAAAAGAAAATACTTTCATCATCATTCAACACTTTCACCACACTCACACATTATCACTGCTTTTGCAGAGGTGCTCAGAATACAACAGTTTAGAAGCATATACGTATAGAGATACACAACATATCCCTCCAAACTGCCAATATCCCAAACCCCTCCTTTAAAGTGCAGGCATTGTACTTCCCATTTCCAGGACTCAAGTCCGACTATATGAAAATAACCGGTTTCCCTGAATCCCTTCACTAAATATTACCCTGCTCACACTCCAACAGATCGTCAGGTCCCAAGTATCATTCGTCTCCATTCACTCCTATCTAACACGCTCATGCACGCTTGCTGGAAGTCCAAGCCCCTCACCCACAAAACCTCCTTTACCCCCTCTCTCCATATAATATTATATATATATATATATATATATATATATATTATATATATATATATATATATATATATATATATAAACACTGAGTATCAAATAAACTACGGATACGAAGTTCTGAGGCCATTCGGTCTAAACCATTGTCAGGAGCCAGGTCATTCAATGAGTTAGGGATTAGCTTAGAATTGAAAGAATTACATGGAAATGGGTGCCACATGCTTTCTCAGCTCTTTTCGAAACCCACTCTTTGTACATAACTTATAAGGCCTTCCTTATCCCCAGAGTACGATCAGTAACAACTCCCAAGGAGCTGTTTACTGTTAGGGGAAACAATTGTAACAGGTGTTATTAGACCTGCCATTATTAATGAGCTTGAGAGCTGAAATAGGTGGTTTGCTGCTTCTGTCTCATGTAACTTTATAACACACTAAAGTGGTCTAAAAAAAAATTTGTGCTCCACAGACTTGCTTTGGTGCTGCTGCCTCCTCAAAGCCTCAGTTACTGGGTGGAGGATACGAGAGTTTGCATTATCACACTGGATTTAATGGTGCACATGTACAGGATATCAACCAAAAAATACACAGTGTACCTCAGCGGAGTTCGATGGTCGACATGGGTCAGATTTCGCGCTGTGCCTGTGATGCCTTTGGTGCAGGCTGCTCATCCGGCCGCCTCCGTTCACCACCTCTCACTGATGTTAACCAGAGATACTTCAGGAGAGACATCCCCCGCGCATTCTCCTCTCAACAGAAATGCAAGTTAGAACCTCCTGACATCCATCCTGGATGCACGTCTTCCTCTGTCGGAACTATGCATCCATACACCTGGAATGACAAGTTTGAAGGTTCCACAGGCAGTTTTGAAAGGATATTAATAAATTCACCTGGAATTACCACGGACTCAAACGATTTCCTTCCTAGATTCGAACATTCAGACTTGGAATACAGTCAACTGAATAATGGGCACTCTCTTTCTAACTTTGATGACTCGTGTGCAGCGGAAACCCAGAGGGATATTTTTAATGAATTCAGTCACTCAGGATACGTAACTTCGCTTATGAATGATAGTGAAGCGAAGTATGGTCATCATTCACTAGGCTTGTACGATACAGTAAACAGAAACTACTCTTCAAGGCCACCGTATGCATTGTATCCATCTAGGAACAGTTGGGAATCTGACACGAAAAAACGTGAAGGTATGGGATGGCAAGGGGTGACACCAGGGCCACACGATGCGTTGATAAAAATTACGAATAATCACACTGACTACGATTCCACCACCAGCGGAGCAGCCACAAATATTTATATGGACTCTACATTCCGACACGACATAAGAGGTGCCAGCAACGACCCAATGCAAAACGAGAGCCGCAATGATCACTGTTTATCTCCTGAGCTCTTTGCTTCCCAGTACCAAACTAGCTCCGCCCCACCTGCCAGTCATCTTCGCCCCAACTTTGGAGATACAACGCATGAATCACAAATTCTATTTTCACCCAAGATCTCTCTAATTCGTACCGAGGTAAGTATAGTTATTTTTAAAGAAATTCTCAACGGCCGTCTCCGGCCAAGGCAGGGTGACCCGAAGAGGAAACAAAATCACTAACATTTACTCAATCGCCTTCTCTCAAGAAGTGTGTTGACATCAGAATCAGATTACCCCTCCGACTGCTACACATCCACCCTTCAGAGTGCTGGCACTTTCTTTCCTACCTCCAGAACTCAAATTCGGCTAATCGCATTTCCTGAATCCCTTCATAAGTTACCCTGCTCACATTCCAACAAACACATCCATTAAAAAAATTATTAAACTTTATTTGGACTCGATAATAATATAAATTATAAATTAAATATACCAAGGCAAAATGTAGTGTGGTATACAATTGCATTTTTTTTTTTACATTTTAATGCCCTAATCCAAGGGATCCTTTTCTTGTAGCTGTACCTTCCTAAGATATAGCCTACGTACTCACACTTTCCTTCCAACTTCCTTTGAATTAAATAGATCAAACACTTTTTTTTATCTACATGGTAAGGGATTCTCAACACTCCATCATCCCTCAAGGGAGTTAGTTCCTTGATGCCGGTGAGACAGGCTTTGACGTGAGGAATTATTGTTCTCACTGTATTTCATCTTGTATCCATATTAATTCAGGTTTTCTACTTGCTTAAAATTAGATTCACACTTTAACTACAAGTATTACCTTTTCTTTGTTTTCCCGTGAAGCACGTTGACACATTATATTTGCATCAGGTTCACCTTCTTTCCCTTAAACTTGTATATTAAATTCACAATCATAATTTTAAGGTTTCCTTTAAAATCTGAACATTTATCTCTGAAAAAAATTCAGTCGTAAAGAAAAGATGCTTCTAATCATTTCCTTTCAAACTTTTAAGTTATGCATTCCCTTCAGGTATTGAAGCTCACACGCTTATTTTTTAATTTACCCAGCTATATAAGGAATTCAAAACATCCCTCGCCTTACATTTGTAGCATATTTCTTTAACCTCCCCTCCATCTTCCTTACTGACCCAAATATGACAGGCAAACATAGGCTTAGGGTATATAAACCGAGAGGTGTATAGGCTTCAGTGTACATACGCTGAGAGTTTACGCTAATCCCAACTTGAGGTAAGAAAATATTCTTGACGGTGAAAATGTGACGTACAGCCTCATGATCCTTGTGTAACCGATAGGCTTTAAGCTTTTTAACCAACCAACCAAGCCGCCGCTTATTCTCCCAATGTATAACTGTCCTAATTTAAATAATAGGGTAGCAGGACACTGATGATACATATAATTTTGTTTCCCTTTCCTTCGAAGTTATGACTTCCCGTGCCAAACTTGGACTGAGAGCAGATGCTGTCTCTTCCTTCGGATCACACCTGATTGTCTCCCATTTCCCAGGTGCTGTATGACCCTTACAAAATGCTGTTGTTTTAATTGGCAGGATTCATACCGGAGTGGACCAAGTAGTGTGGTGCGAGTGAGTACCTTGGAAGGTGAGGTGGTACTGGATCCCACTTGCTGGAAGCTGGCCCACACCTTCACCGGTTTGTTGGGACGTAAGGTCAGTTAACTCTCCCCTCCTCCGCTCCTTTATTACTCCTCCTCCTCGCCTCCAGAGTTAAGAATCTCGACGTGATTACGTGTTTTTAGCTATAGGAGTAGAGCTATACTTGTTATGTCTTCAGTGATAAATTGTTAAAAATTTTCGGACAGAAAATACACAGTAGTCCTTAACTGGCTAAAATTAGAGAGTTCCTAGCAAATATATGATAGTCCTTAATCTGGTTAGTAGAGTGATCGGGACTCGAAATGGCGGTCTAGGATCACCAGCATTCGTTTTAGACCACTGCACCACAGGATTCCTCAACTATACCTCTGGGCATTATTATTATTATAATCAAGGGGGAAGCGCTAAACCCGGAGGATTATACAGCGCCTGGGGGGGGGGATGTGGAAGGCATTCAGGCTTAATTCGGGGAACTGGAGCACAGATCCAATTCCCTTAATCAAGAGCCCCTCACCAACATCAAGGAACCTTCCTTGAGGGGTATACCTCTGGGCAGGTTGGTGAAAGCCACAACCTGGGCAACCTATTCTCATTCTCATTTTACAAAGTCATATTTCTTAACGTTCCCTATTTTTCCTCGAGCACTATTTTTCCTCGAGTGCTATTTTTCCTTATTTAAAATTAAATTACGTTACATAAACCAAGAAAAACATAATAAGAAAATGAAGAAAACACGGTTGAGATACGTCTCAACGAGGTGGTCTAGTGAAAAATTAGGAACGTTGAATTCGTAATGCGTATCGTTCCTCTTGGTGCGAGTTTTTTTGTGGGAAAACATTAACCCGACCAAGTCTTGTCTCTTCTAAGTCACTTGTCAATGTGCTGATAATTCGTAATGAACTATAGCAGGTCATAAAATGATATTTCACCCTTAACACCTTAAGGTATATATACACTAATACACACACCTCTGTATATAAAGTTTACACCTCTTGGTGTATACATACATTAGACATACACACCACTAAGAGTATACACAGAGATACATGCCGGTGTGTATACCTTGACATGAAAAAAATAGTCAAGATTTGTTTTGTTTGCACACCTAGAGAGGAGAGGTTACAACTGAGTTGGAGGATGGAGTGAGCACTGGACATACCAGGGTCCCTCAGAACGCTGGTATCTCCACGTTCGCTGTTGAAACTGGAGGATGGAATGAGCACTGGACATAATCAGAGTTATTTAGAACACTGGTATCTCCACCCTGGATGTTGAAGCTGGAGGATGGACTCAGGTAGCAGTAAAGAAGAAACAGGTTTTCTGTTCACACGCCCGAGAGGACGGGCAAGCCAGATTAATTGTCTTTCTACCCACGTCTGTTATTATGATTTATTTGGTTTTAGTAGTGCTACAGTCATGTTATACGTCAGCGATTATGAGCAAACAATACGATTTGTATTCTGATTTTGCAAGATGATCCTATGATACGAATCCTATAGCAGAAACATCAATATTATTTATAACAAAACCAATACTGTAAATAACGTGGAAAGAGAATGAGAAATAAGCAATAATAATGTAGTTTTATTGATAAAATTGGATATAAATAGAATTAGTGTTCGAGTGGCTTCGCCACTATACCTGGAGTTTACCTGGAGAGAGTTTCGGGGGTCAACGCCCCCGCGGCCCGGTCTGTGACCAGGCCTCCTGGTGGATCAGCCCCTGATCAACCAGGCTGTTGCTGCTGGCTGCACGCAAACCAACGTACGAGCCACAGCCCGGCTGATCAGGAACTGACTTTAGGTGCTTGTCCAGTGCCAGCTTGAAGACTGCCAGGGGTCTGTTGGTAATCCCCCTTATGTGTGCTGGGAGGCAGTTGAACAGTCTCGGGCCCCTGACACTTATTGTATGGTCTCTTAACGTGCTAGTGACACCCCTGCTTTTCATTGGGGGGATGTGCATCGTCTGCCAAGTCTTTTGCTTTCGTAGTGAGTGATTTTCGTGTGCAAGTTCGGTACTAGTCGCTCTATATATTATATATATATATATATTATATATATATATATATATATATATATATAATATATATTATATATATATATATATATATATATATATATATACATACATATATATATATATATATATATATATATATATATATATATATATATATATATATAAAATGACCTCAGGGGACAGGAGCCGTAGTGGGGAAACAAGTGTAGTCAAAGATAAGATAAAAACCAATATTGCAAACTAGAAATACCACAGGAAATAGCAAACAAGAGGACTCCACTAGCAATAGTGAGGATATATTACCAAAAACAACTGGTGGGAGCTCCATTGTTGGTGCTAGGGAGGATAGGAATAAGACAGGGAAACATGCACCAACAGGGAATACAGTCACAGAAACCCAAGGCAAGCGGAAACCAAGCCTGTGCACATACTATGCACTTGGTATCTGCAGACATGGGAAATCTGGAAAAACAGACGGGACGTGCAACTATGACCACCCTAGAAAATGCCATGCCCATATGACAACAGGAAAATGCAAACTCACTCCCTGTAAGCTTTTTTCACCCTGAAATGTGTACCTCTTCAGTACAGGAAAGACTGTGCTATAACTTAAATTGAAGGCACACCATCTAAAGGGGACAAAAAGATACAAAACATCCAGGACATGGGAAAACCTGGGTAGCCACAGCCACTCAAGAGGGAGAGGTTTTTTAGTGCCAGGAAGGAAAAAAAACTGGCAGGAAATGGCAGAAATCGTACACCAAATCCAGTCATTCCTGGAGTGGAACCACAGTCGATGGCCTCCACTCCAGACCAACAGATACAGATACTAATGCCGGAAAAAAAATCCTCCCCCAGTACCAACAATACCACCAGTCCGATGACATTCTTCTTTGCAAATATACAGGGTCTAAAGCCAGCAACAAACAACAAAATACCTTTCATCCGTGGACTGCTTGCAGAGGCAAAGGCAATGTTCGCGGCTTTCACTGAGACCCACATAAAGGGTCACTTGGACAACGAAATATGGATCCCAGGTTACAACCTATGCAGATGTGACAGAGTGAACAGGCAAAAAGGGGGGGGGGGTTTGGCCTGTACATTGCAGAGTCATTTGTTTGCACAGAACTGCTTAATGCCTCAAATGATGTAGTGGAAGTTTTAGCAGTAAAGGTCGAGAACCAAAACCTAGTCATTGTGGTAGTCTACAAGCCTCCGGATGCAACATCCCAGCAATTCCAGGAACAGCTGTTAAAAATTGACCACTGTCTGGAAAATCTTCCAGCTCCTGCACCCAACATCTTGCTCCTGGGGGATTTCAACTTAAGGCACCTAAAATGGAGGAATATAGCAAATAATATTGTTGCAGTAATAACACCAGGAGGCAGCTCTGATGAAAACTCACACTCACACGAGCTTTTAAATCTCTGCACAAAATTCAATTTAAACCAGCAAATAATAGAGCCTACTAGACCGGAGAATACACTTGACCTCATCTTCACTAACAATGATGATCTGATAAGAAATGTCACCATATCAAAAACAATATACTCAGATCACAACATAATTGAGGTTCAGACATGTATGCGTGGAGCCCCAGACCGACATAATGAGACTAGTCACGAGGGAGCATTCACCAAATTCAACTTCAATAACAAAAACATAAAGTGGGACCAAGTAAACCAAGTCCTAACCGATATAAGCTGGGAAGATATACTAAGCAACACAGACCCCAGCTTATGCCTAGAACAGATTAACTTGGTGGCACTCGATGTATGCACAAGGCTTATTCCTCTAAGAAAAAGGAGGAGTAGATGTAAAATAGAAAGAGACAGGCGCTCCCTTTACAGGCGACGGAAAAGAATAACAGAGCGGCTAAAAGAGGTCAATACATCTGAAATGCGTAGGGAGACACTGGTCAGAGAAATAGCAAGCATCGAACTTAAGCTAAAGGAATCTTATAGGAGTCAGGAATCGCGGGAAGAACTAAAAGCCATAAATGAAATCGAAAGAAACCCAAAGTATTTCTTCTCCTATGCCAAATCAAAGTCGAGAACAACGTCCAGTATTGGGCCCCTACTTAAACAAGATGGGTCCTACACAGATGACAGCAAGGAAATGAGTGAGCTACTTAAGTCCCAATATGACTCAGTTTTTAGCAAGCCGCTAACCAGACTGAGAGTCGAAGATCAAAATTATTTTTTTATGAGAGAGCCATAAAATTTGATTAACACAAGCCTATCCGATGTTATCCTGACGCCAAATGACTTCGAACAGGCGATAAATGACATGCCCATGCACTCTGCCCCAAGGCCAGACTCATGGAACTCTGTGTTCATCAAGAACTGCAAGAAGCCCCTATCACGAGCCTTTTCCATCCTATGGAGAGGGAGCATGGACACGGGGGTCGTCCCACAGTTACTAGAAACAACAGACAGCCTCACTCCACAAAGGGGGCAGTAAAGCAACAACGAAGAACTACAGACCGATAGCACTAACATCCCATATCATAAAAATCTTTGAAAGGGTCCTAAGAAGCAAGATCACCACCCATCTAGAAACCCATCAGTTACACAACCCAGAGCAACATGGGTTTAGAACAGGTCGCTCCTGTCTGTCTCAACTATTGGATCACTACGACAAGGTCCTAGATGCACTAGAAGACAAAAATAATGCAGATGTAATATATACAGACTTTGCGAAAGCCTTCGACAAGTGTGACCATGGCGTAATAGCGCACAAAATGCGTTGCTAAAGGAATAACAGGAAAAGTCGGTCGATGGATTCTATAATTTCCTCACTAACAGAACACAGAGTAGTCGTCAACAGAGTAAAGTCCGAGGCAGCTACGGTGAAAAGCTCTGTTCCACAAGGCACAGTACTCGCTCCCATCTTGTTCTCATCCTCTATATCCGACATAGACAAGGATGTCAGCCACAGCACCGTGTCTTCCTTTGCAGATGACACCCGAATCTGCATGACAATGTCTTCCATTGCAGACACTGCAAGGCTCCAGGCGGACATCAACCAAATCT